CCCCCGGCAGCCCGGGACTCCCAGGCAGGCTCTGCCCAGCCCCCACCTTCCCCGACTGATAAAACTTTTCTCATTTCGCTGTAAATCCCTCCTAAAATCTGTCCCGAGATTTAGTCTGGCTGCTGTGATTGCTACAGCGCTCCAGCTCTTTTTGAGAGTGAGTGGGTGGCTCTTAAAAGAGCCTTTGGGTTTATTTAAATGAGTAGACTCTATTATCAGGCGTTTTACTTCTTTTTGGGCGCCGCCTTCTTCGCCTTGGCCGCTTTGGGCTTGGCCGCCTTGGGCTTGGCTGCTTTGGGCTTCACCGCCTTCGCTTTCGCCGGGCTCTTGGCCGCTGCCGCCTTCTTGGGCTTGGCAGCCTTGGTCGCCTTCTTGGGGCTCTTGGCCGCTTTCTTGGCCGCGGCGGCCGCCGGCTTCTTGGCTTTCTTGGGGCTCTTCTTCGCTGTCACCGCCTTCTTGGGCTTCTTGGCGGCGCTGGCGGGCTTCTTGGCCGCCGGCTTCTTGGGCTTGGCCGCCGGCTTCTTCTTGGTTGCCTTCTCTTTTGTCTCGCCCGGTTTCTTGTTCAGTTTGAACGACCCGGAGGCGCCGGTGCCCTTGGTCTGCACCAGGGTGCCCTTGCTGACCAGGCTCTTGAGCCCCAGCTTGATGCGGCTGTTGTTCTTCTCCACATCGTAGCCGCCGGCGGGGGGGGGGCGCAGGGATTCCCCCGTCTTCGATCCCTGTCCCCCCCGCCCCGGAGAAGGGGGAGGAGGGGCCGAGGCGGTGCCGCCAACAGCCCCGGGGCAGAGAGGGGAGTCACCGCCCCGCGGGGGGGCGGGGCCTGAGGGGGAGGGGCGTGGCCGGGCGGGCGGAAGGAACCAATCCGGGCTCAGCGCGGGACTTTTAAACTCGGCCGCCGCCGCCCTGGGCTGTGCCGGGCAATAGGAACGGGGCGGAGCGAGCGCCGGGCTCCCCGGCGGCACGTAGGGAAACACTTCCTCCCTCCCTCCCTCCCTCCCCCGGCCGCCCGGGACTCCCAGGCAGGCTCTGCCCAGCCCCCACCTTCCCCGACTGATAAAACTTTTCTCATTTCGCTGTAAATCCCTCCTAAAATCTGTCCCGAGATTTAGTCTGGCTGCTGTGATTGCTACAGCGCTCCAGCTCTTTTTGAGAGTGAGTGGGTGGCTCTTAAAAGAGCCTTTGGGTTTATTTAAATGAGTAGACTCTATTATCAGGCGTTTTACTTCTTTTTGGGCGCCGCCTTCTTCGCCTTGGCCGCTTTGGGCTTGGCTGCCTTGGGCTTGGCTGCTTTGGGCTTCACCGCCTTCGCCTTGGCCGGGCTCTTCGCTGCCTTTTTGGGGCGGCCTGCCTTGGCCGCCTTCTTGGGGCTCTTGGCCGCCTTCTTGGCCGCAGCAGCCGCCGGCTTTTTGGCTTTCTTGGGGCTCTTCTTCACGGCCGCCGCTTTCTTGGGCTTCTTGGCGGCGCTGGCGGGCTTCTTGGCCGCCGGCTTCTTGGGCTTGGCCGCCGGCTTCTTCTTGGTTGCCTTCTCTTTTGTCTCGCCCGGTTTCTTGTTCAGTTTGAACGACCCGGAGGCGCCGGTGCCCTTGGTCTGCACCAGGGTGCCCTTGCTGACCAGGCTCTTGAGCCCCAGCTTGATGCGGCTGTTGTTCTTCTCCACATCGTAGCCGCCGGCGGCCAGCGCCTTCTTGAGGGCGGCGAGGGAGAGCCCCTTGCGCTCCTTGGAGGCGGAGACGGCCTTGGTGATCAGCTCGGTGACGCTGGGGCCGGCGGGTTTGCGGGCTTTGGCGGCGCCCGCCGCCTTCTTCGGCTTCTTGGCGGCGGCCTTGGCGCCGGGGGCCGGCGCATCGGGGGCGGCGGCGGGAGCGGGAGCAGAGACAGCGGGAGCGGCAACGGGCGCGGTCTCCGACATGGTGGCAGCCGTTCGTCCACGGATCGGGGGGAACCACTGGGCCTGGAGCAACTCGGCGGCCTCGTATTTATAGAGCGGAGCCGCGCGGTGATTGGTGCGTTGCAGCGCCCGCCCCGCCGCACGGCAGAAAGGTCCCTTCTCCCCGCTCATTTTGTGTTTCTTAGGAGTCGAAAAAGCCCGTTTTTACCCGAATTTCCGCCGCCGAACCCCCCCCGTTCGGCAGTGGCGTGGAAAAGACAGACTGACGTTCCCCTGGGCGAAGTTTCCCTTCGAAGAGGCAAAGGGTGAGTTAAAAAAGAGGCGATAAACCCCGAGTCCTGGACCTGGGCAGACCTCGGGAGACAGAAACTTTTGTTTTTCCTTCTAAATAAAATCCGCGACGTGGGCAACTAAATCTCCAAAGTAATTAATTATTATTCTTTAAAGGGTCTTCTCTTAATCTGAACTGAAATCCAGGGATTTGAATCGATATTTTAATCGCAAGTTGATTTCAAAGAGGAGGAAGTAACACAGGCTCATCTCGAGCACTGAATATGGATTAGAAATTAGCTCTTCTGTCCAAAATCCTTTACCCCTTTCAAAACAATTAAAATAAATTAAATTAGTGCATCGTGTAACAAGGCGAGAAGCAGATTAAAGTCCTGTGAAGGGCTGTTTGTGCCCCAGAAGGAGATGAGTTTTTACAGCATAGCAGCTTGTACTGTGTTGCTCAGTGTGCACAATGCAGACATGGTTCCCTCGTGCTCTCCTACAGAAATCTTCATTTTCCTAATAAATTAGGCGACGTGAGAACTTAACACGGCCGGTTTTGATTAACAGTTACAATCAGTGCCCTATCACTTTATAATTGAGCCATGTTTTTTACTTTGATACAGTTTGATTGGGGAAAATCTGAGTCATCGTTATCTAAGGAGACACTGCTGCAGCTGATTTTTTCTGTACTTCTGCACAATAAAGCTTGCCCAAATTAACAGTTTGGGCTCCCCTTTCACAGCAGATTGTGAAATATTCAATTTTTTTACTGTCCAGTGATGGATTCCTGCATTGGAAGTGATATTAAAAATAACTTATCCAAGTGATGTATCTGTTACACTAAAATGACTGGCTGCTGGCAAGAGGAGGACAGTCTTCACCTGCCCTTTACCAACACCACACTTAAACAAATTAAAAATAAAGGGATTTTATTTTTCATAACATAGAGAATTGAAACAAGTATTCTCTGGTATTTTCACTGTTGCCTACAACCCTTTTTTTTTTTTTTGCTGAGGGCCTGTAAACTGTTTGTTACCGCTTGTGACTGTAACTTGCAGTGGAACTGTAACGTTGTACAATGTTATGATCCAAATAATTGATGTTTGTGAATGGATAATTATTAAAATGCGTTTATTGACCTATAATTCCTGATTTCCTCCTTCTATTTCAATGTCTCTTAAGTTCAGCAATATATATAAGGTAAACTTCAGAACCAGAAACACTCATTTTTGCCCTCAGATCGCCTGCCCAGCTGTTACTGATTTCTCTCCAACCCAGTCAGGATTCAGGCAGAAACCGGGTACGGCAGCTCAGACAAAGCCCTGAGAAAACTGTATTAAAAATTAATAATTTAGAACGCCTATTGTTCTGAAGGAAAAAAAAAAAAAGACAACGTCTGTAGGTCAAGGCGGAGGGGGGTGTGTGTTGTTTTTAAAGACAGATGAGTTACCTCGACCTTACCCAGGGCTGAGCCGACACAGGACCGGGGGG